GAGGTCAGGAGTTTGAGACCAGCGTGGCCAACAGAGTGAAACCCCGACTCTACTAAAAATACAAAATATTAGCCAGGCGTGGTGGTGGGTGCCTGTAGTCCTAGCTACTCGGGAGGCTGAGGCAGGAGAATCGCTTGAACCTGGGAGGCAGAAGTTGCAGTGAACCGAAATCATGCCATTGCACTCCAGCCTGGGCGACAGTGTGAGACTCTGTCTCCAGAAAAAAAAAAAAAGAAAAGAAAAGAAAAGAAAGTGATCTCGATCTGGTCAGTGATTGGGTAAGGGAGATGGTCAAGAACCACTGGAAAAATCACTCGAAGCCCATGCCTTCTACTGATGGTTTACATTGATACAAGAATACTTATTATTGTTTGCCTCTGCCAACTAGATGTTAAGTACTCATGAGGTAGAATATAGTAGCTATTACTACTTCCAGTGGAATAGGTACTTTGCAACAATAACCCTGCCACAGAAAAGCAGAGTTATTGACCCTAATTTATAGATGAAATAACGGAGATTCAAAGAGGTTAGGTACTTGCCCAAGACCCCATTGCCAATAAGTGGCAAAGCTCATGCTCTTCCCATGCCATCATGAGTTATTTCTTTCCCACTCCTCTTACACCACTGGATGGGCCAGAAGTGGAGTGAGGGGCAGTTCTCAGAAAGGTTGCAAAATTTCAGTGGAGACCTGCAGTCAAGTGGCCATCAGTCTGGCCTGCCTGGGGGAAGGAAGGGAGGAAGCAGAAGATCAGTCTCCCAGCTGAGTGGGTGTCACGAACTGAAACATCATAACCTCAAAGAGATGCTTCCTTGACCTTGGCATCCCAGGCCAAGGGCCAGGAAAAGGAATGAGAAATGGAAGTGGACATACAGAGGCTGGAAGTCATCTTATCACCCATCATGGCTGCAGCTCACCCTAGAAGCTCTACTGTGGTCAAGTCAAAATTAGCAGGTAGAAGGTCAATAGGCAAAAAATAGTCATCCGATTTCTTCCTGTGCCTCAGCCGCAGTTGTGGAGGAGACCTGTGAGGGACATTGTGGGCAGGTGCAAGGTAAGGCTGGCAACACCCAGGCCCTGGCATGCAGGCAACTTCTTTGAGGGTGGCCAACCAGAGAGAGCCAATGCAATCTTCAGGAGATAGGTGGCAGTTGTGAAACAATTCAGAAATCCCCTTTATTTATTTGTTTGTTTGTTTATTTATTTATTTCTTGAGATGGAGTCTCACTCTGTTGCCCAGGCTGGAGTGCAATGGCATGATCTTGGCTCACTGCAACCTCCGGCTCTCAGGTTGAAGCAATTCTCCTGCCTCAGCCTCCTGAGTACCTGGGACTACAGATGCATGCCACCACGCCCGGCTAATTTTTTGTATTTTAGTAGAGTCAGAATTCCACCGTGTTGCCCAGGCTGGTCGCAAACTCCTGAGCTCAGACAATCTGCCCGCCTCTGCCTCCCAAGGTGCTGGGATTACAGGCGTGAGCCACCAGACCCAGCCAGAAATCCCCTTCATCTTTTAGTGCCCCAGGGACAAAGTGGGAGCAACTGAGTTACAGAGTAACTGTTCTGTTATTAATTTATACTCTGTCTGTATCCTGTATGATGAATTGTTCACACTATAGATATGAGACTTTGGACAGTTGTTTACCCTGTCTATGCCTCAATAAAAAGTAGGGGTCATAGAGGAAAAGGTGTAATCCTTAGGTCTGGCATAGGGCATCTGTTATACGAGCCTTTGCTACTTGCTATTATTGCTTACTGTGGCTTTTTATTTTTATTTTTTAATTTTTTTGTTTTTGAGAGGGAATTTCACTCTTGTTGTCCAGAGCTGGAGTGCAGTGGTGCGATCTCGGCTCACGGCAACCTCTGCCTCCTGGGTTCAAGTGATTCTCCTGCCTCAGCCTCCTGAGTAGCTGGGATTACAGGCGTGTGCCACCACACCCGACTAATTTTTTTTTT